TGAAGGACATTGAGCCTTGGGCCACAAGGGTCTCTGTTAGTGGAAGCAGCAGCAGCAACCCAAAAAGGAGGAAGCCTGTTGAGGAAGCTTTTGAGAGAGTCCAGTCTCTGATGACTCTCTCCTCTCTTAAATTCTTTCTTTTCTGAAAATCACTGTGTTGACTGAAATCAAAATGGGTAAGAAAGATGAGCACAGACTGTCTCCATGTATCTGAAAGTGTGTCCCCGAAATTCAACTATCAACAGAACTGTATGCGCTGTAAAAATTTTCCATGTTTTCTGATGGGGATCAAATTTGCAGTTTTGTTTCTAATATGGTTCTCTTGCCAGTGACTCTCATCTCTAGTTTAGTCAGTGTCCTAAAGGAAAGACGTTTTAAGCTAAATTCAGCCCAGACACTTTTAAGCATACTTGACCAGGTCAGGTTCATGGAGGTCCAACCCAAATCCTTGAAATTAGTCTTTTGCGGATTCTTCACGAGAAAATCTGCTTTTTATTAGGAGGCCTTGGATTATGTTTAGGACTCCTCCTCACCCAGTTATCTGAAACAGCTATTTCAATGTCCCATCTATACCTTTGTGAGAGATAACTGACTTTTCCCTTTCCCCTTTGCAGTCTTTAGGAAGTTGTGTCATGTATGAATAAGGGAGACAACAGAATCGGTATTTCTTCTCTGCTCTAACCCACAGAAAACATTTTCAGAGGACTGGGCCACACTTTTTGTTTAATACAGGTGCCGAGCTGTACAAAAAAACTCAAGACTTTGAACAAGTAATCTAAAAAATGTGCTAGATATTCCTCAGCTACTTTGGTCTTGCTGGCATGCAAGGAAACTTCCCAAGTAAATAGCACTGCTTAGGTACTGAGGGGCCTGCCTCCAATTCTGGCAGGTGTCCTTCAGTAAACTGCTTTCCTTTGAACGATTGTCTTGATCCTTCATCAGGAGTGAAAGAGCAGGTAACTGGGAAGATCTGGTACTGAGTTTGCAAGGTTTCCCTTTAATGAATGCTAACCCTTCTTTCGGTTCACTGTCAGCTGTTTAAAACACTGATTCAAGTGCTTCCTCCAGCTCAGTCCCTGAAGTACCGTTTGCTGAAAGAAAAAAATATAATGCACCAGAGGAAAAGGTCACTCCATTCTAGTGTAGCTTTTTACAAACTTTCTCTTAAGCATCTGCTGCTGCCTGGTATCAGTGATGAATATTGAGATAATTTCGCTTGGGCTTGGCAATTCTTACGTGTTTATGCTCTTTGCCAATGGTGCCTTGGTTTGAGTGATAATATACTGAGAAAGGGAGTTGATGTGAAGACATTAGAAGGACTGGAAACAGGAACTAGGTATTGGCAGTGGGGCTTGAGATGTCAGGAGAGTCACAATTGTTTCTGATTTAACGCAACCAAGTACACTGGAAAAGTGACAGCGAAGTCTGAAGCTTTGGAGGTTTCCTCTGATTTTACCTATGAAGGGCAGGAAAGACTAAAAATCCTTCCATTTGAGGCATTAAATGGTGGTAAAGTAGATGAAGGATTGGCCCTAGGTTTCTGTGTTAGTGAATAAGGAGAGAGGCGATTATGCAATACAGAAAAGAGACGAAAGATGTATGTTTGTGCCTCTATAGTGTAGATGAATCATAAAGAGTTTTAAAAGACTGTTCTTTTTGTAGATGTGAAGTGTTCTTCTGTATATTTTACTTTGGGAATTTTGTCAGATGATGGGGTTTTTTGAACTGATCTTTTTTGGAGGCACTTTTTCCTAGAGCTTGAAGGCAGCGCCTCCTGCATGCCCTGTGGTAATGCGGTAGGGAATGCAGACGAGAGGAACTGAGCAAGACTGCAGCTGGTACTATGTAATGAGTGATGATGTAAAGCCATGCCAGCCTAAATCCAGGCCTCAGCTGGGCATCTCACATGGGCATTTGATGGTGCCTGTTTCTAGTGTTCAGGGAAGTGTGTGAAATGGTAAAGCTCTGCATAACACAACTTTTCCTTTCTGAGCTCCGTAATCTGGCTGCTATGACTGGAGGAACTTTACCAGGCAGGAGAAAATACACTGCCAGCCTCTTTGCCCAGCTGCATTTATCTGTCCCCTCCCATGGAGGTATGCATCACACACACACACACACACACACATGCAGCAGTGTCACCTCTGAATCTCACAGTAGTCTTAAGGAAACCCTGGAATGTTAAAGCAAAAATGTCCGAGGGCTGGTTTTCTGCTAAAGGATAGGCTGCCTGCCATCCGCTCGTTTTCATGTGTCTTTCCATCCATGATAGACCAGTGAGCTTAAGTGTAGTTTGAACGTTACTGTTTTCTAACTGCCTAAGATGTCTTTAGGCCAGTATTTCCTGGCTGTGTTACTGTAAAAAGAGATCATTCTCCAGGCTCAGGTTACATGAGCTTGAAAAAAAAGTTTGGAGCAAACTTATCTGAAGGTACAGCATCTTCCTACAGTTTGCCATTTTGAGGCATGGCCAGGGTACAAAGCCCTTACTCTTTCAGAACAGGGTATGGCGACAGTGTATTTATGTCATGGATCAGGAAACACAGATGATGCTATTGATCACAGTGGTCCAAGTGATTTATGGCTGGTGTCAGGGAGATTTCTGGACAGGATGGGTCAACCATGGGTGATGTACAGCTGGATCTGCTGTTCACTGAGAAGAGTTGTTTAGTGAGATAATAATCATTGGCAGTTGTTGCTGTAATGTTCATGAGATAGTGGTGTTCAGCATCCCATGGGGAGCAAGGAAGGCAAGTAGCAGACTATAGATGCTAGAGTTCAGGTGAGCGTACTTGGGTTTAACCAGTGAACTAGTAGGTATCATCTCCTGGGAGGCAGCTCTGAAGGGGCAGGGAGCTCCAGAAAGCTGGCAGGTCTTTAAGGGCAGCATTTGCCAAGCACAGGAGTGCTTGGCTTGGAAAACCAAAGCTTGCCTATAGCTGACACTTGGAAGGGACATGAAAGGCAACAAGAACTTCTGCCACTGCACTGATATCAAAAGCTGATAGAGTAAAACGTGGGCTCATTGCTGAATGAAGTAAACCAATTAGTGACAGCAGACAATCTCAATATAGTAGACTCTTTTTTATCTTTGTTAGGAAAAGTATTGGTGGGAGAGGAAAAACCGTCTTGTTGAAAAGAATTTTAACTCATAACAATTGAGAATAGAGCTCTGTACCTTTATTACAGTAAGGTTCAACCACATGAGGATCAGGAGGGAATCTGTACTGGGATGGTAAACGGAATGTTAAGTTAGAACTGATTTTTCTTACAGCATGAGTGTAAGAAAATCAGCTTGTGATAAGGTGTCAGAACTTCTCTGAATACTTCTCAGATAAATTTCTTGACTCTGTGAGGAGACCTGCTGGTATTAGCTATCTTTTTTGAACTTCTGTACTAGCCTATGTGAAATTATATTTTTCAAACCTCTGATATAAGGAATAATGTTGTATTTTGATAAGAGGGCTGTGGTAAGTGAATATTGTGGGATAGTTTAGCTCGAGTAAGGTATCTGTAGATGCATTTCAGCACACTTCATCATTGACATACTTGGACTTCAATATGTTTGGTATCTAACGAGTTGAAGGCATAAAGGCTAATATTTTTCAGTCTTTTTTTCTAGTTTATCACAAACAAACTGACATTTATAATTTATATAGAGAGAGCTCTGATCTTGACATATTCTTGAGTAATTTTCTTCTTCAAAAAGTATCTCAGTGAAATCAGTGAATGTACTTACGTGACTAGAGTGAGTTGGCTCAGGTGAATAAGGTGGAGGGGGAAAATTCATCAAGGCTTCACTTCAACTGCAGGTGCATTAGTCTACATACTGTGGTCCTTGCAGGCTAAGGGCCTTTCAAGAAAGCTGATACTGAAGTGTTTCTTAGGTCCTACCCTTGAATGTAGCTAATATCAAAGTTGTCCATCTCTGCATAACGTAAGTATTTCATTCACTCCCAATCAGTGGACCTTTAGAGAAAGGTTTCTGTTCTTGATAGCTGTACTTCAAAATTGATGAAGAAACATGTAGAAGTCACTTTCTTTTAAGGAAGTTCATTTTCAGAGCATTCTGATTATATTTGTAAAGAGCTTTCTATGAATGTAATGTATGTAAGCCAGTATGCTAGCCTTAAAAACAAAAAGCAAGGTGTACATTTTTTAATTTGTAGCCCTAGAGCCTGAAGTCCTTAATCTAGTGTTTCTGCAACATGATTGGTGTTCTCAATACCATAAGTCTGTTACATAAGTTTAAAAAGTTGTAATGACAAGTCCTTGAACTGTTGTGTAGGGTGTGCCCTCCCTGTAATTCTTTTCACTTTTGTGGTGTTGGAGGAAGTTGGAGATGCTATGCACATGGAAAGAGTTACTCGTGTTTGTAATCCAAATGGAAGCTATGTAGTCTGCCTTTACGCTGGAAAGTAATTCTGCTCTGCATTGGCAGAGGAAGCATTCATCTACTTTGACTTTGTATTTCAGACAGCAGTGCAGTGTTCGGTCATCCTGCCAAAGCAGTAACAACCTGGATGGACCTTGAGTGCTCACAAGGAAGAGTGTATCACTTTCAAACTTCCAGAGGTTATAATATCTTCAAAAATGGTTACAGGCGTAAAAGAATGGAGTAAATGTTGACCAATGATAATGTGTAAGACTGTTTTTAGAAGCTTTATCATGCTTGATAATGTTTAAGATGGCTAAAGTTAGATTTTTACTATGTTTTAAACTTGCAATAGCTTTACTGTCAAGCTGGATCAGACAATGGCTGCAGGAAAAAAGTCTCTATTCAGTGGTACCTTTTAGTTGATGGAAGAAAGGAAAGGCTAGATAATCCTTTGTTGCTGTTTCATAAAATAAGACCTAAGAAATTTGCTTTGCTATTTCTGCCGCCCATCTTTTCCTTCAACAAGGTAAATGGTTACAATTCACTTCAGAAAGGTACAAGAAAAACTTTCAAAATAAGATTATGCTATTTTTTATACGTTATCCATATTTTTTATTTCAATTATTTTTTTTTAAAAAAGCAGGAGGTTTTTTTGTTTATGTGCTAGAAAGCATGGTTTAATAATTGTGGCGGTTCTTTCACAGCACAATTGTGTAATGAATGAATGTTTTCATTAAAAAACATAGGTAATGCCTAAGCCAAATTTGTGCCTGAAGATGTACTTTTGTGACTTACAGAACTATACAGAAAAGTACTTTGCTCCTGAACACTCTGATGGCCTTTTGCTGCTTCATTGATCTGAACAACTCTGGTTTTAGTTTCTGTTTTACGTGATGAATGTGCTTGAGTGCTTTGAATGTATGCATTTCATTTTTTAGTACAATTTGACTTCAGTGTCTTAGAACTTAAGGTTCTAAGTCCCTGAAACAACAGGGACTGCTGAGTGAGAAGTGGATCAGAATGCAATCCAAGCCAAGCAAAGGAAAGATCAGAAACATGACAGGTACAGATTCTCTCAGTAATGTAAAAAAAAAAAAACCAAAAAAACCCAAACAAACAAACAAAAAAACCCAAAACAGAAATTAGTCCAAAGGAAAATAAAAAAGCAGGTACATAAGCTTTTTAGCTTGCTTGTCTTGTTCTGTTAGACACCCAGTCTCCTTCTATGAAAGACTTCAGATTTGGACATATTCTCCGTACCAAAACAGTACAGGTGCTTTTCAGATACTGGGGAAAGTAGCTTAACCAACTTTCCATATTTTCTGGTATTTTTTTTAAAGAACTTAGATTGCAGGAGACAGAGCTTGAAGCTTGAGAGGAAGAAGGCTACAGATTTAATGTGCCTTTTACTACCAAATCAGATGGCTGGCCTTAAAAATGGTTTTCATTGTTGTTATCTTTGCCCCCTAGACAGTTCTAGTGAAATGCATTGGAGCCATAAAATTCATACTTGGATGTTCTAAAAGAAAGTTGTTTCTGGGTTTCCATTTTCAGTACCCCTTGGGTGTTTTTTTTACATACCATAGTAACATATAAACTTAATTGTTCTGTTAATTTTCTTGTTTTATATACTGAGTACTTACACTGCCACAGGACAGTATGGCTCAGAGCAGGTCCATAGTTAGTGGGTTTTGTTAGACATTTCTGATACAAATTCTTCATCGTCATGTGCAAGGCTAGATGATGATGCTAGGTAAGGATAGGAGTTCACTGGCTGGCCATGTCCAAAGAGTTACAGTCGATAGTTCAATGTCCAAGTGGAAACCAGTAACAAGTGGTATTCCTCAACGGTCTGTACTGGGACCAGTACTGTGCAATAGCTTCATCAATGATGTAAGATAGTGAGATTGAGCTTGTGGATGACACCAAGCTGAGTGGTGCAGTTGACACACCTGAGGGAAGGAATGCCATCCAGAGGGACCTGGACAGGCTGGAGGAGTGGGCCCATGGGAACCTCATGAGGTTCAACAAGGCCTAGTGCAGGGTCCTGCACCTGGGTTGAGGCAACACCTGGTATCAGTACAGGATGGGGGATGAAGGGATTGAGAGCAGCCCTGCGGAGGACTTCAGAGAACTGGTGGATGAAAAGCTGGACGTGAGCCGGGAATGTGTGCTTGCAGCCCAGAAGGCCAACCATATCCTGGGCTGCATCAAAAGAATGGTGGCCAGCAGGTCGAGGGAGGTGATTCTGCCCCTCTACTCAGTTCTGGTAAGAGCCCACCTGGAGTACTGCTTCCAGCTCTGGAGCCTTCAGCACAGGAAAGCCATGGACCTGTTGAAGCGGGTCTGGAGGAGGGACACAAAAATGATCAGTGGGTTGGAACACCCCTTCTGTGAGGACAGGCTGAGAGAGTTGGGGTTTTTTAGCCTGGAGAAGAGAAGGATCTGGGGAGACCTTACTGCAGCCTTTCAATATGTAAAGCCATTCTCTGTAAGAAAGATGGAGGGAGACTTTTCACTGGGGCTGTAGTGACAGGGCAAGGGACAACAGTTTTAAACTGAAAGATGATAAATTTAGATTGGACATACAAATTTTTTCATAATAAGCATGGTGAGACACTGGAACAGATTGCCCACCAAGGTTGTGGATGCACCATCATGGGAAGTGTTGAAGGTCAGGTTGGATGGGGCTTTGTGCAACCTGGCCTAGTGAAAAGTGTCCATGTCCATGGCCGGGTGTTTGGACTAGCTGATGTTTGAAGGTCCCTTCCAACCCAAACCATTCTGTGATGCTATGATATCTATTTGCTTTGTCAACATAGGCATGGTATCTGAAGGTGTCTCACGCAGAATTAATAAGAAAGTCAGTAACACGGTGGTAGTGTGTAGTGTGTTTTTGCAAAGTTTAGCATACATTGTATACTCTTTGAAATGTATTGGGAGGTATTAATGAAGCACACTACACAACGAAGATGATAACTGGCAAGAAAAGCATAGGCAATGTTTAATTATATAAAGATAGGCCAAATAACTGGTTTTAATTGTGTTTCTAAGCAGTCCTAAGGTAGGTATCAAATTTATTGTAGGAAGTACTGCAGGTGTGTAGAGAACAAGAAGACAAATTTAATCTACTGCATTACTAAAACCAAGTAAACATTCTCGCAGAGAACAGTGGCCATTCTTAGACTCAGAATGTCTCTGGTTTGACAAGAGTGAGACAATGACATGCAGAGGACCTTATTGATGGCAATTACCTCTCTTCTGCTCCACTGTCTCTCCATGACAGTTTTCACTTTTTACAACCATTATTCAGTCCATTTGCTTTGATGGATTTGGAGTGCCGCCTTCTGGTGCACAGTATTTACACTGCTCCTGTATGTTGACATCAGAATCAGTGTTAACAAATACTAACTTGAGGTTCTTGGAAAATCACATCTTGGCTTGGTAAACGGTTTACCGGAATATACGACACTAAATTGTTGCTCTTGCCTAGTTTTCACACACCTCAGATTCCAAAATTAATGCCTCTTAAGGTTGACTGCTGTCATTGCTCCTCTTACAGAAACCTTGTGTCTTCTGTGTATTAAACATAACCCGTTATACACTACCACTACCGTTTTATGCTGACATCTCTTACACCAAATATTGCAGCAGGACCTTTCAGGTAACGGTTCAGGAAACATACAAAGAAACCAGTCGTGTCTCATGCAAGATGGATTAGAACTGTGGCAAGTCCAGTAAAGTATTAGCTAGTGAAATTTAACCTTAGATTTTTCAAGTCTACTTCTCATTCTCCAGTGGTATTGTCCTAAACTAACTCACTGATTTATATGGCCTGAAAGCTTGCAATGCTTTTGATAGAAAGAGATCGACTCTAGAGCCAGCAGGAGCTGCTGAAGAACAGGTCAGTCTCTCATGCCCCTCTGCAGCATTTGCCTTGGGGGAACAGAGAAACACAGCTGGGAAGTAGTGGCTATATTAGAAAGAAATGCTGAAAGCCTTATTTTCTTCCCCATGTGTATGGAGGGGAGACTGAATGGAAGTGAGTGAGTGTAAACAGCACAGGTGCACAAAGCAGGAGGCATGCCAGTATTAGCCAAGGACTGGGAAATACAGAATCGGTAGCCAACTGGTTCCTTGTAAAATTTTCTGCTGGGCTCCAAAGGAAATGCCAGAGCTTGGAACTACATGAAATGGCTAGATCCACGCAGACCGCAAGCAGAAGTGTCACTGCAGAGTAAGTTCAACATGCAAATAACAATGCAAGAGGAAGACGTACACCCACTCACAGGAGCTTTTGTCCAACTGTCCCTCCAGTGGCATTCATTAGGAGTTCTGCTTCGTCTTGGCGTGCATGTCACAGGCCACAGATCTCCTTCCGCTTTGACTGAAGAGACTTCTGGATCTGGACCCGGTAGGATTCAGACCCAAACAGCCCTTGTCTATATTGCAAGCCAGCACCCCACACTTACTTGTATCATGAGCATTTGCTCTCTCTGACTGTGGAGTTGCTATTGTGACCTAGCCTACTCCTCAGTGATTGTTTGGATGTTGTATTTTGCTTACGCCAGCTATCCGAGGCTTTTAAAGTCCTTTCCTTTTGGAGATCTCCATTTAGTTTGCTTAGAGAATCCTCCAGTGTGTGTGTTAACACTGTAATGTACACTGGTGCCAATGCGCTACTGCAAGTTCAAATATGGTACAAACTAGACTGTGAGGCAGGCCATTAGATTTACCCTTTTTCTCCCTTTTCTGTTTCCTCTAAATCATTCTGTGCAGCCTAACATTGATCTACCTTGCTAATGTAAGATGGCCCACTCATATCTCATTTTCACTTGGCTAATGCTTCACTCTGTTTCATACTAGCAAGGTCCAAAGCATTTCTCAGCATCAGCACAGGTGGCGTATGACATCAGAATTTAGTTTTTGTATTAATATAGAACCCAAGAGCAGTTGGGGTTCCCAGAACTGTAACCAGCAAGAGTATTTTGTTTATCGAAACCAGCTGAGTATCAGTAAGGAGAGAAATTAATTCGGGAGGTGCTCAGCACAGGGCGGGATCAGCCCTCTAAGACGGAAACTCTGGCTTAACTGTTTTAACGACTGCTTCCTCTCCCCACTGTCATTGCAGTACTCACTGAAGCAGGACAGGGCAAGAGAATTGAAATTAATACTTAATCACTCTTTTGCAGAAGTTTGCAATCGTTTATTTAGATAATTGTCAGATTCTCCCACCTTTGCTATGAACTGGCTCAGGCAATTTGTGATGACAAAGCCATGCGTCACGAGGCATACGTGGACATACATTTTCTGGCTGAACATCAGGGTGTCGTAGAGGAGGCCCAGCTGCATGAATTTAGATGATTACAAAGGTTCCCACTTAGAATTATTAACAGGTATTGGTGGGACTTTTCAACTCCCTACAGTGCTTCTGCTGTTCCCCATCTATCCCTCCCTGCTGCTTATTTTTCTTCTGGCTCCTGTGTACACGAAACTCCTCTTCAGGTTTCATCAGTTCCCAGAACCAGCAAATTAAAAAAAAACAAAAAACAAAAAACAAAGACCCAGTCCCTTCCCCAGATGGAACAGCTTCCGCCGCGTTAGTGAGTTAAAGCAGGTTGTGGAAGGGTGCGATGTAGCATCAGCACAATGGGGCTGCACGGCCAAGTGGCAGGAGGAAAGGGCTTCTCCTTGTAGCACCTGTGAAAAAGGAAGTCTGCCAGCTTGCCCTGGAACTGCACTCCAAAAGAAAAGCAATTCAGTTTTCAGCAGTCTTGAACTGATTCTGGAATTGACTGTTTCTACAGGAAAAACTTCAGGCTGAACAAAATCAAATTTTGAATTGTCTGCTTTCTGCTGATTCTTGTAAATTAACAATAAAGTCATTGTTCAATAGCCTAATTCCTAACATTGGCTGGCTGGCTGCATCTCTCGATCTTTGTTAAACTGTATGGGAGAAAATAACGCTAGTTTGGTGGTTTTACTGAAAGTTGGTAAAAAGATTCTGTGTAGGTAAGAAAGCCCACACTTGACTCTGTATCCATTTTCTATTGCCTTTCAATTTTATTCTCATGAAACCAAGCAGTAAGGAATAACATTATTGCTCTTCTGATTACCACTGAATACATAACCTGCCTCCAGAAACCTTAGGCAGGCATGAACAACACCATGAATCTTCTGACTCAGTCTTCTACTCGGGGCAGAGCAAAATAAATGCCATACAGTCTCCGTAGCAATATCAGAAAATGGAATGTTTTAAATTCATGTGGAATAAATCTGAGTTTCTCCATTTTTTAATTAACATCATCTATTTTTTTCCATGGCTGTGGGATTTTTTAGAAATTGCTGTTGACTGACATGAAATGAGAAAATGACTCCTGCATATGATTTCTGTGAACCAGCTTGCTCGACTATAGTCTGTTCACAGGATGTTCTTTTTGGATGCATACACTTCCCAGTACTTTCAAATGTCCTGCCTTATGGCAGGCATTCCTATTGGAATCAGGTTTCTTCTGCACACTATTTAGCTTGACATTTGGGGAAACAGGTTGCCTTGCTACCAATGAGCAGAACCGCATGAACATTTACTGAAAACAACCACAGAAGTAGCATATTTGCAAATGAAGTACATTCATAAATCATAAGAGCTTGTGCACTTCTATACATCTGTAGAAAAGAAATGGATGATGCAAGTCTGTGGAATATCTTGATGTCCACAGTGTTGAACAGTATTGCTTAAGGGAACAACATGGGTTAAAAAAACCCAGTGGTTTCTATGTACACCTCGAAAAGAGGGGAAAAAACCCCAAAAAAGATGTTTGGACACAGTGTTCTATCCCCAGATTTAGCAACATATGGAACCAAGAATGATACCTGTAGCAAGTGAAACGTATCTTACAGGAGTCCAGTTGCTTGATTTCCTGCAGTACGGTTCCTCTAGCATTAGGAGGAAGACATTCAATCTCATGGAAATTTTTTAATTTGACCTT